GGAAGGGGATAAAAATGAGGAACTGACACCAAGGGCCCAAGTAGAAAGCAAATGTTTTGAGAATGATGATGGCAACAAATGTACAAATGTGCTTGACACAGTGGATGTATGTATGGATTGTGATAAGAGTTGTACGAGCCGCCAATAAAATGATTAAATTACCAAAACATCACCACCCCGGAAACCTGATGGAGCAGATCCATCCTGGGCATCCATCCTGCTCCATCCGGTAGGGTCAGGAGGAGCCGGAATCTACTGGACAGCAGTGGGTTTGTGAGACCAATAAGACCACTGGGTGGCACAAACCGTTTGCACTCAGTTAGGAGCTGGAAGGCTGCCAGTTCAAACTCGGCCAGCAGAGCCATCTGTGGAGGAAAGGCCTGGAGATCTAAAGATTGCAGCCAAGGGGACCCCTGGAACTCCATTGTACTTCGTAGCAGTACAGGCTGGACTGGACTCAACAGCTAAGGCTTTGCTGGGTGGTTCTGGTTGGTGTGGAGATGCACAAGGTCACCAGTGTGCCCCGCTGGGCCTGTTTCATGGTTGATGGAGTTCTCCGGACTCTGACAACTGTCTATTTGGGACAAGGGCAATCAAAATAAGAAAGGCCTCTGAAGAATTGTCAGATAATCGTTTAAACATTTTTCTCTTGACCACAAAAAGTAACCCGTGCCTAATTTGGAAAGCCCAAAGACTACATCAAACAGTATCTGTGATCCTACCACCCCCAAATAATATTTTAAAGTCCACAGTGATGGTTATTACCATGTCCCCAGATACACTGCATCCATCCAGTACCCGAGTTGCAATTATCCTGGCACATATGATCCATAGTTCTGAAGCAATCTCTGAAAAGCCAATTCTATTTGAAATCTTGAGAAGCATGCAGTGGTTCATAACCCGAAAACAGACGTGACTTTGGAACCCAATCAAAATATTATTTTTACTGTATCTTTGTGTTAAGTATGTTTTCATGTATCTGGAAGTGTTTCTTACATGTTTTTTCTGCGTAGCCAGGTATGCCGTATACTACCTACTAAGACAAACATATGACTAACTGGTATCAGATGTAACCAGACCTAGCTGTGAAAATTGCATACAAATTTGCCTTATACAGTCTTAAGAACGGGACTCATTTGTAATTTTGGGACTACCTGTATACCAACTCTTATAGCAGGATTTCCTCCTTGAAGCAATATGTCAAGAACATTTTCTCATGGCAGTATAGTCAAGCTAACATTACAAAACTCCTTCTTGTGCCAATAGACAAATTCTCCAGCAGTGAATTCACATGATCACACGAAGTCGTTCCCCCAGACACCTGAATCCCAGCACGAACAGCCCTGGACTCCCTCAAATAAAAGGTAAGGGGTATTCATGTTCATGGACTGGAAGGCTTAGCACAGGTAAGATGCCAATACTACTCAGAGCAATCTGTAAATTCAATGTTATCCCCATCATCCCCCAATTGCCTTCTTTGAGGAAATGGGTGAGTCAATCCTGAAATGTATACAGGAGGGCAAAGGACCCCGAATAGCCAGCACAATCTTGAACGCGGGTAAATAAAGTAAGAGGACTCACACTTGATAATTGTCAAACATGCTATAAGGCTATGTGAATCAAAACGGCTTGGTACCCGTGTAATGATAGACATAGAGACCAACAGAAAAGAATTGAGAATCCAGAAATATCCCATACATTGATAGTTAACTGACATTCAACAAGGGTGAAAAGCTCATCAAATTGGGGGAGAAGATATTCTTTAATAAATGGTTCTAGGAAAACTGGATTTCCACACATAAAAAAAACTAGAATCTAGAACTCACACCATATCAAAAAAAGAAAACACAACTCAAACTCTTCTGATAGATTCAGATGGAACTCCTGAGACTATGGCCCTGGAGACCCCCTTCAGGCCTGAAACTGAACTCATCCTTGGGGGTCAACGTTCAGCCAAACAATAAGCAGATCCAGAAGGTGCACAGTAACACTTGAGAAAGTCCGCCTCCTTATAACCATCGACCATCGGGGTCACAGAGGCAGCCCAGAGATAAAACTGAGAAGGCAGGAAGGGAGACCAGAGAGAGATGAACTATTACGATGAGCGCTATTAAGTTGTGGGGATTGTAATCAGTGTCATAAAACAAAGTGTGTATATATAAACTTTACCCAAATCACAATAAAATGTTTTGGGGTTGTGTGTGTGTGTGTGTGCATGTGTCTGTGTGTGTGTGTGTGTGTGTAATATTACATCCTAGAAACCCCTCTGGGACATTTCTCCTCTGCCCTTGAAGTCATCACGAGTCAAAATGAACAACGATGATGCATCACTTCACCCCCACATTAAGAGCAAGGATAAAAAAGGAGCAAACAACAAATGCTGGCTGGGTTGCCGTGAGACTGAAATTCTCACACCCTTGCTGGGGGACTAAACAATGGTGCAGCCACGGTGGACAGCCCTGTGCCTGGCTTTCCTCAAAAAGATGGGACTAGAATGACCACATGACCTAGAAATGTCTCTCCTTGGTCCAAGTTCTAGAGAAACAAGAGCCGCAACCTGAATCGATACTTGCACACCCACGTTCACTGCAGGACTCACCAAAATGCTCACCCCTGGAAGGGCGCATACTTAAACTTTGGTGCACAACTCACTGGCTTCAAGTCTATGCTGACCCTCTAGGAGAGCATAGGAGAGTGGTTCTCAACCCGTGGGTCACGACCCCTTTGGGGGTCGAACGACCCTTTCACAGAGGTCGCCTAAGACTAACAGAAAACACATGTTTCCGATGTTCTTAGGAACCAAGACACCACTCCTCAATCCGTCTCCAGGGGGGTCCACCCACATGCAGACACGCCCACAGACGAGTCCCCGGCGTGAAGCCTGTGACCCATGCTACACCACGCTTCAAGACAACATTTCATTGATGTGTCATGAGAAATAAACATTTCGCAATATCTAATTACATATTGTTTTTGTGATTCACACTATGCTTTAATGATGTTCAATTTGTAACAATGAAAATACGTCCTGCCTATCGGATGTTTACACGACGATTCACGACAGTAGCAAAATGACAGTGATGAAGTAGCAACGAAAATGATGTGATGGTTGGAGGTCACCACCCCATGAGGACCTGTCTGAAAGGGTCACAGCCTGGGAAGGTTGAGAACCACGGCCCTAGGACAAGGGAGAACTAGCTGTCTCTGCGGTGTTTCTGAAACGGTAGCTCTTGACGGGAGTAGAAAGCCCGTCTTTCTCCTGAGGCGCACCAGGTGGTTTCGAAGTGTGAACCTTTTGAATCACAGCCCAATGCTCAACCACTGTGCCACCGAGTTGCATAGGCAGCATTCAAAAATAATGATGAAACTGCTGAATTGTATGGTATGTGAATTACATGCCAATAAAATTGTTTTAAGAAGTGTTACATCTGCGAAATGCTTCATCGTGTGGATGAACTGGTGGGCATGGCGCTAAGGGAAATTAGTCGATCACGAAAGACCAAATATTGCGTGAGACCACTATTGTAAGAAGTCAAGAAAGGCTTTCCCGACTGTGGCTGCCAGAGGTGGGCGGGGCAGCCACGGGCTAGAGGGGAGACAGGTGTCACCTTACATGAAGGGAGAGGCAGTAGACGATAAGAGGAAGGTTTGCCCCACGCAAAAAATTAAGGAAGCCCAGAAAAACTGGGTGGTTTGTAAGCGTTAAAGACAACAGAGTCAAACCCTGTGATAGCTACTGTTTTGTGTCAACTCGACTGGGCCAGGATTCTCAATGGTTTCGCCATCACCTATGACCTGGCCTAACACAATGTAATCACAGCCAATTAGTTGTAAGCCTCCATAAAGGGATTAAATTAGAGTGGGGTAAACGCCCTTTCGCAGGTCAATGCATTGCCTCAGGCCTGCGGCCTACCTCCCATATACGTGGGTGCTTTTTGCTGGGTCTGAATCCTGTATCTGGATTGTGGGCCTCCAGTTCTTTGGACTTGAACCAACAGCCTACCATCTTGCCTGCTAATCCTGGGAGTCTTCTGCAGCTTGCCATCTGATCTGCCGGCCTTAGCGTCATTTATCTTTGTAGCCACAAGCTTAGCCTGCTGCTCTTGGGTTCCTTTGCCCCTGTAGTCGTCCACCTGTCCCCTTCCTGTTGGTCTGGAGTTCATCCACCTCC